TAATAGTAAATTAGTTTATCGCCAGTCTATGTATAAACACACCCTGTAACAATAGGTACCTACTATTTAATTAGCAAAATACTTATTCAAAATTCGCCCTACAATAATACATTTATGAAAGTCAAAGCTATTTTTAATTCGTGCTTTCTCAATCACCCTACACAAATAATACGGTATAAAGCCATAATTAATTAATAATTAATACCCAGGAGACGTATGATATATTTAGTTCGTCCCTCTTTACGCATTTATTTCAATTTCATATTTATCGAGAGGAAACACCCCACTACGTAAATTGAATCAATCAATTCGAAGTGCGATCTAGTCGTTGTCCTACAATTTTTTAATAAGTTCTTCTTGATGGAATTAATAAATGCCCAACTAACCAATTCACGTCGCATATACATTTAGTTCAATACCACCACTAGACACCGTGTCGTACTAATTATAGGGAAGAGGAAACCTTTGACATTCGACCTGATCTACTAACGAGCCTTCGACGCGCGTTTTGTTACCAAAATGGTTAACGACAATGCAACCCTCTATATAAATTTATGCTAACAAATACTTATTTGATGTAATTTCCTTCTAATTATCAACTGTTTTATTTTCCTTTTGTCAAATTCTACCTAAAACATGCTTTTCTGTATTTGTTCCGGAGGAAGGAGAGGTGAGAGTTTAAAACTGAAAAACTAACCAACTAACCAAATAGAAAAAATTCATTTTAATACGTTGATAGTTCATACTTCAGTTGTCCGGTATGGAGTTTGAACCACATTCGAAAGAATTGCTAAGTTGCAAAGATGAAAGACTGAGAAATGAAATAAAGGATATAATTGAAAAGTGATACATTGATTTCAGACATACTGATTTCTGATTCTGCGGAACGGTTATCAACTTATCACATTTACGGCAAATGTTATTTATAATATTATGCAATAGTAGGTGCATCTTGCCATCTTGTTGGAAGTTATTTTGTGAAAAAGAACTTCACAATGAAACCCCCTTTTCTCCATATTGACTATTGAATTTCTCTTAAATTATATACCCTTAATTTTCTGCGTGCGTACTCCCTGAACTACTGAAGAACAGATTCAAACGTAACTTGTAAAGAATATACAGGTCATATCTTTCTTCGACTTTGCGTTGTTATAATGGTCGTATGGCTTTTATCTTCTGGTTTATTCTTTTTTTATGCATTTTACTTCGTTATTATCTACTTGTATATTACTACCTATCTTGACATCCGCTGTGGAATAAATAAGTACGCAGAAGCTGGATGACATAAACACAACTACACTATGATCTTTTAGATACTGTAGCGCAGGAATTAAAAGGCCAATAGGAGCAGGTTCAGTTATGATGATAACACCAAACTGAAAATGCAAACTGCAATAGAATGAAGCGCTTTCGGATAAGGAACGAGTGTGCAAGCAGATAAAAGTCGAAAGGTCACAGTGTTGCTGGTTTTAAACACCGCTCTTACGAAACGTGATACCTTTACGTGTATCAAAAACGTATCCGAAGCTTGGTTTTCGTTTGGTTTGCTTCAGGTTTGTGAAATGTCGAGTAATGACGAAGAAAAATTGGAATGGAAAGAGATTCTTCGTCGAACCTTCAAGGCGAACCAATGTAAGTTAAACGCGGCATTTTATTTGCGAGTAACGACGAAGCTCTGGATAGGACACATAGGAAATTATTTTGTAAATTACAGTTGTAACTGGGAACAATACTAATTTACAGTTGTAACTGGGAATGAGTTTATAATTTACAGTTGTAATTGGGAATTACACTAATTTACAGTTGTAACTGGGAATTAGTTTATAATTTACTCCCTTTCTCAAGAGAAGCACTACGTCACATCATCATCCAAGCCAAATAAACGCAGTAATAAAATCTTTAGAAAATAGATCTTTTCGTCTTACTGACGATTGCTCAAAAAAAGAAGCACTTCAAAAACTTGAACAAAATGTTGCATCAAAATGGCTACTCTTTAGATAAAATAAAGAAGACAATCAAAGGGTGTAATCATGGCCTATGTATCGGTATCTGATCTGATTGATGGTTACAGAGGACCAGTCACAAAAAAAACAGAAAAAGCTAAGAACACTTCAAATTTAGATATACAGTTTCAATTGATTGACATTTACGAAATCTAACAAAAAACTCTTGATAAAGGTAGCAAAGAAACGTCGAGTAACTATTAATAGCTAACCGCGAAACTAATTTATTCTTTACAAAAAATGAATTTTTACAGTGAAATTTGTACTAGTGTCTTAGAAGAGGTTCCGCTTTAGCGAACTGTGTTGTTATTTTGAATATCATCAAATGCATATAGGTACAGCCTAAACTGTGTGTTTGTCCGGAATTTTTTTTAACGTGTGCCTTATACTTCCTCCAAAGCAGGAGGGGCTAACTGAACACTGGTATATAATACAGGGGGTTCAAAAACTCACATTAAAAATTGAATTTAAAAAAATCGTCAAAAATAAGTTTTTTTTTAATGGAAACCCTATTTTGCAAGTATGTCTTATGAAGTACAATAAATATTGGTAACTTTGTAGGTATAGTAGGTTATTCCGAAAAATTTAGTCTTCGAAATATTGGCTATTAAAATTTTCTCCGTCATAAAAATGCTATAAGTAAGGTTTTAAGAATATTAGTTGGCTACGGCTTTTTTGCCATTTCTTTAGTGCTGGATTGTTTTGTTTTTCGCCAGCAATACGACCAGCCACGGCTAATTTTAAGGCCGTACATAACAGGATTTTGCAGTAGACAAAATATTATATAAACAATATTCCGAAAATTTTACTCAAAGATACCCTTATTTTTTTTACCTATAAGATGCCGTTATCAAACAGGGGTTTCTAATTTTTCAATTCAATTATTGATATAAGTTTTGAAACCCCATGTATTTATTTATCCTCAAAATATGTCAAAAGGGCTAAATGTAGATTATAGGGCATTAAACAGGAAATATATTTAGAATACACAGAATCTAAAAATTAAATAATATGTAGAGTATTCCATTTAAAATAAGAAAATTAGCATCGACTTCCGGTATTGCCGGAAGTGACCGTTTAAAGACATTGTCGATAAATTTCTCGTAGCTATGTTTATGCGATGGAAATAAATACGATGTACTAGATTGTTGATTATTAAGATATGAAACCAACAAAGAATCTTCTAATATAAAATTTCATACAGCTTAGTAATTAATTTAAAATTAATGCATGGAATAATGAATGCATGTTTGTACACATGCATAAGAAGGGTCCTGGTTGATTAATACTTCAACATGATGTGACTACTGAAAAATTGTATGGTACTCAGGTAAAAAATTATGAACAAATATAATAAAACATTTACCGAGCATGTAATAATGATAATTATCGGAATTTATTATAATATTTTCTGGGGTAACATATAATTTTCTTCTTCGACATATCAGATTTAAGGAGCGCCTGCTGCGCAGACAAAACAGTGTTAATAAAAAAAACAACTCCGATCGGAAACATGTTTTATTGCAATTAAAAAGGCATAAATTCTTCGCATGTATAAAAGCAAATGCATAACCGAATTATCGATTCAGATACTCGATGGCCCCATTTTTACCGGGGGAATGAAACCGACTCCTCCACGCTAGATCGGGACAAAAAACAATACACAAAGTTCGTTAGAGATCACAATGTGGAAAGTGTAGGGTTGGGTGTGGGCGTTACGAAATAAGTTACCTTTTTGCTTTTTTTTAATAATAAAGGAAATTGCTTTGTGTTGATTTTGAATGTAAAACTTAGTATTCAATGGTACTGACAATATTGGTTATGTCACACATATTCATATCAATCAACCTCAACTTTTCAAAATCAGACTGTAATTAGAGGGGTTTAATGAAACTTCCTTCGGCTACACTCTCAAAAATAACAACTTTTGTACAGCTTTGGTTGCCTGTTTTATGATACTGATGAACGACGGTAATTTTACGTTTCTCTCTTGCAGTTCTTTGTGGACATTAATATGGATTTTGGAATAAATATTAAGTTCTGCAGCAGTCAAGTTTGCGTTTCGTATTTATACTCGTTATGCTACTTAAGTAGAGTCTGCGGTTATTTAAAATATTCTCATTTTGTATATAAAGTTTACCTAAAATAGGTAACAAGGTATCTATCCGAATTGTAACCATCAGTAAAGCATTTTGTCTAAGCATCTCCGCCCGTCCGTTATAGTGCCCCAAAGATTGTAAAAATCTTGCAACGATTCCCAAGGGGGTGGAGGAGGGGTAATGAAAGGAAACGTTATACGCGACGAAAAAAGGGGCAAATAACTTGCACCTTCGCTTATATAGCAAGCGTATATACAAGGAAGGTTATTTTATGTGTCCGTTTCTTCTTATTTTGTTCCGGCCGATTACGTTTACATCAAGTAGACGCATAAAAAAGAATAAAATAATAATGGAAAATAAATTAAAGCAAATGAGTGATGGGTTGGCGTTATTACTTTGACTACTGTGATACAATCATTAATTCGGTGGATGCGAAAGAAAATTGTATCACACGGACACGGCGAGGATTTTAATTGCCTTGGGAAGACGTTAATTTTTATCGTAAAATTTTTGAAATTATTATAACCGAATTTATGGCGTTAGTGTAACCTCGTTCTCATTTAAAATCAATAAAAAGGCAAAGAACTTTGCAATGCGTATACGTAAATGGTATAATAAAATAACAAGAAACTTTCTCGGTGTATAGCATAATGTCAGTTAGAAGAAGCGTTTCCAAATCAATCGAGGACGAAGCGCTTATGTTAGGTTTTAGTCCTGACATTTCCTTTTCTGAAATGAAACGTTGATGCGGCCGTGCATATACGATAAATTTCTATAATCATAAATTAATTTCAGCACTTATTCCACTTTGTTACGTTTATTAATTGCTTCCTTTAGTACAGGAGAGGAGCGATGAAAAATTACACTTCCATGATGCATTGGATCGGTCAAAACTCACCTGCGTTTGTGTTAGTCCTAAACTTGCTGCTAGTTCCGCTCTTTCGGGGAGCGCTAAATACTGTGTTCTTTGAAACCTTCGATTTAGTTGCTGAAGTTGAAGACTTGAATATATCGTTCTTGGTTTTCGCATCTTTTTCCCTTTACTTCCACCCGTAGGTCTGTCCAGCGATAAGCATTTATCTGAAACCAAAATTTAGACTGTAAACGAGCACATTGATCAATGAAATTACGTCACCAAATAATGGATAAGCAACTCGTCTTAATAACAAATTATAAACGTCTTTCCCAATTAACTCCGTAACAGTATATACGGTGGGAGTTACAGGCTAATTAAAGTAAAATTTCCCACCAGGACTACTCAAACAAACTTCTACAATTCTACCTAATAAGCTGTTATTGTTCGGCGTCCAGGATTTGATTATTTGTCCTGCTGCTAACCTAAAAATAAAATTCGTGCGCCGTATCTGTAATTGGGGATAATAAAATAACAAGAAAGAGCATCCTTCGCATCTACTCTTTCAGCATTTTCCACAGACGACTATAGCTAATTAGTGTAAAATTTATTTTTTATTTATAAGCAAACTTCTATTACATCGTAGATGGATTGTATATGGAAATTTCGACTATTAAACTGCAGTGTGGGTTTTATTATTCGTCCTACTCGTTTGGGTTTTAAAAATATTAATTTTATTTATTGCAACCTTTCCCATTATTTGCGTAATCAAATTCGATGCACGCTGCTGATCTGTAAGGTGTCACATTTGAGATCTTCTAACGTCTTCCGCTAATTTGGCAGAATCGCCTAATTACACTTGGCATTATTTTCTAT